GATTTTTGCAACCAATATTGTTTGTGTCCATAACTGTACTACCTACTGCATTAAAATCTCCTAAAATGCAAGCATACTTTACTGAAACTTAAAAAATTATATATGTTTATATAATAAGATAATAATGTTTTTTTTTAATTTTTCCAGCCTAACAAGAGTGGCCAGAATGCTGGTGACATCTTTTTATTGTAATATTTTAATAAATACTTTTCTATTTACATATTAGATATTTTATATATTTTTCTATTTATTCAGCTAATAGATTTCTCTTCCAACCCTACTACTAATAATTGCAGGATAAAAGTTTCTGGTCTAACATTGTCCCCCCATTTGGCATTAGTATACCAATACCAAATTTCATAGATTGCCATTATATTCAGCCACTAAACTGTTGTATGGAACCTTTTTTGAGGAAAGTTTTTCTTTGTATAAATGTTCTCTATAGAATTCGGTATCGTAAAGTTGTCTTGCATTTTCAAAAACTTGTAGACTTCTGTCCAGATAGATTTACTTATTCTATATTTTACAGCAAAGTGTTCTGGGTCTGGATGCTATCTTCACACCAAGAGCAGGAACCTGATTCTGACTGGGAAACCCGTTGAAGCCTATAACCCAGTAGCAAGGCCCTATGGGCAAGTCTCCATATAATATCCCTCTTTTTATTGTCGATGCCACTACAGGTGATCCAGTCCGTTGGGATGTTTTCTTTGAGTATGTAGGTTGGAGAAATTGAGTTGGATGAATCCCTCAAAAGGTTCACTAAGTCTTTAGTCCGGAGGTTGCTACTTCTTTTTCCTTTCATGTATATATTCTCCAAGGACCAAGACCATGGTGACAGGGAGGAAACTGAGCCCTCTACTTTGTTTCAGGCTAGTACAAAAGGTTTCTATTCTAAAGGCCAGGCTTTGGATCTTACTGGATTTTTAGTGAAGACTTGTAGTATCGTGGTATTTCTTTTATCGCTCAAGGATTGATCTTTCTATCTTTGCCCATAAAGTGTTCCCTGTCATCAGCTTTAACCATGTTGTGATTATTCTAGCCTCTAACATGTTCCCAACTATTGGGGCTTGAAGACCACCTTTTTCATAAGGAAGCTGATAGGTTACGTATCTTGAAAGCATCTTTGAATTGCCCTTAATCCAAAGGGTCATCAGGTCGTTTATTTCTGATATTTGTTTTTTCTTTGAAGGAAGAATATAAGCTGTGTACCAAATGCAGGAGAGTATTAGTGACTTTGCAACTAAAATTCCACCCTTGAAGGAGAGATTTCTTGCTGCTAATTTGGAAAGTGTATCTTTAAATTTGGTAATTGTAGAGGACCATATCTTTTTTTGGTTGTTCATTTGCGTAAATTTCATATCCTAGTAGCTTGAAGGTATCTGTCTCTTCTATGACCTTGAAATCAATTATGTCTAGAAGATTAGCTCTTCTTGCCATTATTGTAAGAGGCACAATTTTTGTCTTTTGGTTATTAATTCTTGCACTTGAGGCCTTTTTATATAAGTCAAACAACCTTCGTATTTCAAGTCAATCTGATGGACTTCCTATTCCTATTGTTAAATCATCTGCATAGGCTATAGATTTAAATGTCTGATTGTGTAAAGATATGCCTTGTATGTCTTTGTCAATTGCTTGTAGCAAGGGTTCGAAGGCCAGAATGTATAGTAGTAGTGAGAGAGGGTCTCCTTGTCTTACTTCTCTTTTTACTCTAAAAGGCTCTGATAAGAAGCCTGATTCAAATATATGAGTCTCTTGATTAGCAAAAAGGTTCTCAACCAAATTTCTAAATTTCAGGTTAAAATTCATTCTCTCAAGGGTATGATCTATATGATCAAAAGCTTTTTGTTGGTCCGCCAGTAGGAGCCAATGTTGCTTGGTGAGGTCAGTCTGATTTCTCATTATTGTAAGTGTATTCAATGCTGCATCTGTTATTGACCTTCTCGAAACGAAACCCTGTTGGTGAGCTGGAATTATCAAACTGCAAATTTTATTTAATCTAGTGGCTATAATCTTTATAAAGATCTTGACCTCACAGTTTACCAGAGAGATTGGTCTCCAGTTGTTGATGTCTTTTAGATCCGTTGATTTCTTTGGTATGAGAGTAATTAAGTTCTTATGCCAAGATTTGGGCAATAGGTCTGAGTTAAGGACGTGGTTATAGACTGTTTTCAAAACAGGAACAATATCATTTTCAGTTTGTTTGTAGAACTCGTAAGTAAGGCCATCCAGCCTGGGAGATTTGTTGTTTGGAAGTTTCCTTATCGTCTCAACTATTTCTTCTCATGTGATTTCTCATGAAAGTTCTGCATTTTCTAAGGATAGAATAGTAGGAAGGTCATTTGTCAGAGTTGTTGCTGCCTCTAAATCGATACTTTCCTCCTTGTAGGCTCTGCATATTGTTCTTTGATATATTGCAGGATTTGATCATCACCAAACTTAGGTAGAACTTCATGGTCTCTGATATCTTTGAGTGTTGAGCAATTAGTTCTAGACTTATATCTTGAGAAGAAATATCTTGTTGACTTTTCTCCCTGTTCTACCCAACTGGCCTTGGAGCGCGTTTGCCATCTGTTTGCTAGTTGCAGCAGTTCTCCCTGAATTTGAAGATTTAAATTATTAACCATTGTATGTAGATGTGTTTGACTTGGATCTCTTGCTAGTTTTTCCTTTGATTTGGTTATTTTTCTATTTAGAAGAGCCAGACTGCTTTCTGGAGCTTTGGACTTTCTGCAAGCTCTTATGATTGATTGAATACATATTTTGTGCCAGTCCCAATCTGCTACTGAGTTAAAGGATTGGATTTTTGCTAAGACCTCTTTTTCTATAAGTTTATTTTTGAAACAGTGTTTGTCAAATCTCCAAGATGTTGGATTCTTCGGTTTGTCATTAAGATTTAAGGTACATTTGACTATCAAGTGATCCGAGTTGCCAAATAATGTTTCTGTTTTTTCTACAAGTGAGACATAATTTTCATTGATGAAGATATAGTCTAATCTGGTTGCCATAGTTTGGTTGTCCCGTGTATTCTGAAAGAAAGTCAGGAAAGGGTTGTTCCTTTCAAACGATACTGAGTCAACAAAATTGTTAGTGAGTCTTTTAAGCTGTATACATGTTGCATCTGATTGTGCTGATGCTTGACTAACTCGGTTTGTCTCTAGGTTTATATTGGTGTTAAAGTCTCCACCCAAAATGTTTATTGATTCTTCATCATAAAGTGGTATCCATCTTTTGAAGAATTCACTTCTGTTCTTATTATTTGGAGGAGCATAACTTGGAAGAGGTAATTCTTATAAGCAATTTTTGTTGATATGACCCTTCCTCCATGAGATATCTGAGGATTTAAAAGCTTTATGTCTTTCTTGCTAGCTAATATAGCTGTCCTATCAGCCCAAACTGAATCGAATAGCCATTGTCTTTTAAGGAAGTCTTTTGTATTTTGGTTTTCTGTGTTTGTTTCTTGTAAAAGAATTATGTCTAATTTATATAATTTTAGTAAAGTTAAAGTTTTCCATTGTTTATGTTAAGGGTTGCTATGTAAACTTTTTTGTTTACCATCATAAAAAAAAACTATTTTAATTAAGTGGGATGAATGTCCCCCTCTAGCCCTTTTGTATGGAGAAGTTTTTATGTGAATGGTCTTTTTTTGTTTTTTCTTATTCATCACCAGAATAAAGCCCTCTTCATTAGCATCCATTGATTCATTATCATAGAGCTTGGAGGATTTTTCTTGGTCTTTATAGGCTTGAACAGGATTATTTAGTATAAGCTCATCCCTTGGGACAACCAGTTCCTGGAACTCTAGGGAGTTTAGTTTTGGAGATTGTGTGTAGACAAAATCTGAAGAGTTAGAGTTAGTGTTCCAAATCATTAGTTGGAAAACCGAATAGTTGACAACTTTTCAACTAACCAATTAGAAAATTTCTTAATCAACTAACCGATTTATAATCAACTAGTTCAACTACGGTTAACCGTCAGTTATCAACTAGTTGGTTGCCTATGTTAATCAACTACACAACTATTCCACATGCTAGTGGCAATCAACTCAATCATATCGGTATCTCTGTTCTACACAATATTGTGTCATCATGTAAAACTGGAACGGGAAAGTATCTAGATATTAAGTAGGTTAAAATTTTAAGTTAATCTAATTCTAATATTTAATCAAACATATTAAATAAATGCAGTCTCGCACTCTGTCTTAGAACCAGGCCAGTCTAGTACAAACCAAAAAGGCTATTAGTCCTAATTCAGTATAAAATTATTGTAGCAACCTAATTTTTTGTAAGAAAAAATATATATGTAGCCGCTGGCTACATATAACCAGTTACACAGATTAATCATGGGTATATTGTTTTTTTTTTTATAACTCTTTTTTTCTTTTTTTCTTTTTTGGTAGTTGCTTGTCACTTTACCTATGTTGCTGGTGCCATTGCTACCAGATGGGATTTAATGCCTTCGTTGTTGGTGGCAAGTATCTTAGTTGCTGATGTCATTGTTATTGGTGCTTCATTGGAGTATGGTCTTGTTCATTTGATTAAGGTCTTGATAGTGGTTTCAGTATAGTCATGGTGTTGCTTCTGTTGCATGCTTTGGCTGCTGTGAGCACTTAGTTTGTAGTTTTTTTAACTAATCTTTTTTTCAGGGTTTTTAGATTCTTGGTTGTCATTTTACCTACGTCATTGGTACATTGTTACTGAAGTTGCATTATATTGAATTCATGAATATCTTCGTTGTTGTGTTGTCGTAATTGGTGGTGCTTCATTGGATTAAGGTCTTGATATAGTTCTGCTGTTTTGGTATCGTTGTGGTCACTGGCTTAGTGAAGTCGCGTCATTGGAGTTCTGAAATACCTTTGTAATTGGTGGTGCTTCGTTGAACTAAAGTCTTGTATGGTTCCACTGATTTCGATATTGTCATTTCTGTTTAATCTTCAGTAGTTTCTAATACTCCATTCGCTGATTTCACCAAATATAATGATGCTATTTGAGCGAAAGCCAAGAGATGGTAAGCTTCTCAATTTTTTAAAAACTGCTTGAGTGATCTCTGTGAATACTGTATTGATCATAAAACTTTCTAAGGCAGATAAAAAAAAAAGGTCTGTTATAAAAAGTTTGTTGATTAAAATGAAAATTTTATTAAATATCTTTTACTAATAAAAAAATATTTATTACATAATAAACTTTATTAATTTACTTGTAATGATAAGCACACTTATTCCCAGATACTTTTTGACTCATTGATTGAGGTACTTGAGAGCGACCATAGACTATTTCAATTCGATTAATAAATAATATTGACTTGAAATCAGTACAAAACAATAAACTAATAAGAAGCGCATAATTGTTTTCAAGTACTTTAATTGGCAAATTATTGATTACTTAGTAAAGAATGGCAGATAATTTATAATCTTACCGAGATAAGGAGTAGCAAAATTCTTTATAACATATTTTAGACTATACTTACAGACTATATATTGCAATATGAATATATGTATATTTCAAAATATTAATTTTCAGTTTCAAACGTAAGAAAAAAGTGACAACATTAAATAACTCAAATAAATTAAAGAATAAGTCAAGTAATTTGAATAAGTCAAAAACTTCGAATATTTTTTTATCTTACAGACTAATTTAATATAAATATAAAAAATGGCTTATTTTTATTACACCTACTATTATGATCATCACAATGGCGGGAATAAGAAATAAATTCTCAGTTGTATTAGAGCCCTTTTATAGCTTATTTTCTACAGTGGAAAATAAACTTTGTTGCATGGTACTATCTTCTATACTTTGAATTTTATATGGTATATGATTGAACTGGTCCTGTGTAGCATCACATGCTGTGCAGCTATCTTATACAATAACCAACCAACTAACTAACTAACCAAGGATCTGCACAACTCTTTCCTGTACACATTTGGCAGGAATAGAGTTATCAACAAAAAACAAAATAACCACTCCAAGCGATAAAGAAAACTTTTTCAAATCAAGTCCAG